AGTTTTTGTGAAATAAAACGTTCAAATTTGCGTGATATGTGTAGAATTTATAACAAGTAAGAATTGGATGATGTCGCTTGATATTATAAAAGTATAGTAATTCAATTTCATTATAAAAATGCATGAGCCTTCATCGAATTATATTTTCACATTTTAAATTTAATAACGAGGGTTGATATCAAGCGATGTTCAATTAAAACTAGTTATTGAGCCTTTTTCTCTTATAGTCAACACCCTAATTGGGTAAATTAAAAACTCCACGAAGCGTTCATCATTTCTGCTTAGAATTATGACGTCATATCACCTGTTCCGGCTTCTTTTTTCTAACTTAACACAAGACATTTTAAACTTTTTGAACGTTTTAAAAGGCAATAGAATGTGACAAAATGTTATTTCCAGATGAAAAGTGCGAGTGTTGTACATTATTCAATAAAGAACATACATGAATGTTCTTTGCCATGGAATCATCATTGACCTAACGACAATTAAAATGTTGTAATATCGTCTCAGCGTGATGGATTCACCTATAAAAATAACTGATTTTTGGTATCACTTTTTATACCACACTCAGTGCAGTAACAGGTAGAAACCTTGAAATTAATAACGTTGAAATTCGTGTTCGTGTAAAAAGTAAAATAACAAAAATACTGAACTCCGAGGAAAATTCAAACGAATGTCATATAGAACAACTTACGGATGGAAAGGTTGATGCTGCAACAAAACTATCACCATAGCTATCTATTAAGAGGGCGGTACACCCCTCTGGTTCAGCATTATTAATCTGACACGTTTTATTGTGTTGTATAAAATTTATGGATCTACAGATCTTCATCTTTGAGCAAAGATGAGCACATAATGACCACATACTAACTGCTTGTGTCTCAAACACAACATGTCCGGTATATATTTTATGTGGTGTTTGTCTTAGTACCACGATATCACCAACACGACAATTTGAAAACGTTCCTATTGCGATCAACAGTATTTCGATGAATTTTGTCATAACTAGTTCTCTCAGATTGATATTCTTATGATAATGATACATAATATTCTGTGTAATACTGAAAGAAGTAGCAACAGCACTAATGTTGTTAGCAATGAGTGTAATTAATTATTTATCATGCTTGCAAATACAAACACTTCATTTAATGAATCTATATGGATCAATCTTACATTTTACGTGCATAATCATCCAATATAACATGTCAACAATGACACGATTGTAAAGATGTAATTACAAAATAATAGTCTTAAGAGGTATCGATATTGTAGTTGTTTTTGTTTTATAAACTAACTACGATGTGTTATTGGTGTAATTTTCGAGTTTGTTAATTATCTGGAATAGTACATATTAAAATGATTGACCAATAATTTGAAAATAGATTGTTACAAACCAATAATGATGCACTTGACGCAATATCATTTTTATAACAAAAATAATCATCAAATTCGACAAGATTGAGAAGCCAAACGATGGTAACCAGTGCCAAAAACGTATTTGCAATTAATAAATAAAACCCAACATCCTATTACAGTGTAACCTATGGAATCCGACACACTGGGGGAACTATTTTTTAAAATATCATATTGCACAGAAAGAGAAGCTTTTAGATACATTCCTTCATTAAAATGAAATTACGACATCGGCTGAGATGGCATGGTATATATTGTCCGTTACATTTATTAACAACACCTTGTACATGTACACATTATCGTTTTGAAAATAAACAGCTAAAGATATCAAACAAAACTGTCATCGCAATGATATATTAGGGTCTGGAATGGGTGCAAAAAAGGGGTTATTCATCTCTATGGTCTGTAATTCTTTCGGCCATTTTTCTCTATTCAGTGAGAAACATGCTTATTCTGTAAAATTCTTGTGTTCAGATCCTGCATATGAAAATTTCCTGTTGTATCATGATTTTGACATGATAGATCATTTTGTCTGTATTGACGACATACGTATGACGAACACTACCCCGTATCCACCCCACCCACTGGATTCTGTCACTGCACTGTAGAATTGATACTATTTATCAATTTTGATTACTATCTGATTTAAACTAAACACGAGAAAAAATTAAATATCTTAATTTCTTTGTAATAATTTGGATATCTTTGATAATAAACAGTAGATAAGATGACATTAGGCATATTTGATGATATTTGGTATGTGATATGAGGTACTAGTATTGCCAAGCTGAACATGCAGTTTTATAACAGAGACAGTACCATTATAGTTAACGAATATTGAGAGAAATCTGGAATCTAGAGTAAAAAAGTTATCACCTGAAATAAATTGTACACTTGATATCTCAAATGTCCAAAAAAAAAAAAACATTGCCTATCAATCATTTCTTTTGGAGAATATTGATATATATTTAACATTCATTGGTAGAAATAAAAACTTGCTATACGCACAAAATCAAAGAAATGTCATCCGTCCTCGATTATTAGTCTTCCAGTCCTTTAATACCAATACATTTTTGTTTTAAATTGTAACAAATAATGGGTCCTTCAAATATGAAACTGAAGACGTAGGAATATTGCTGTCGAAAGAGACGTTTTGATTCTGCAATATTCATAATATGACTAATGCGTTTTAATTTCGTCTATTACACAATTCATTTGAGTATATATCAAACAAAATTAGCCAACTACAGATGTACTAAATGATATGACTTATAAAGAGATGTTAACGCATGAGCAAAATACTTCGCTAAAAAAACTAAAAAAAAAAAACTAGCGTATTACAAATACTAAGTTCGTATATAATATAAATGAATAAGTACAGGATGTTAACGAAATGTCGTATGTTATGGGATGAAGATAATTTCAAAGTTGATTAAAAACTACAACTGCAAAATTGTTAATGCAAAATAATGGTTAGAAATCTGAGTTACATAAAACAACTGATATGCACTCACAAGACACAGACTATAATCAGAATTATTAATAAAAAAAAACTATTATCTAAATTAAGATTCAGATGCTATTATTTACAATTCACATTTGACAAACTTTTAAGAATTATATGTACACTCATTAATAAAACTAATCTTTCAGTTGCGGTATCATGGAATTCATTTTACAGATGAATACTCAGAATGGTTATAAAAGTGCTGTTGGAAGATGATTTAACGGTTTCCTTAAAGTCTCAATTCCGGCTGCCCAAAACAGATCCTCGCCGACACCCGTTTGATACCGTAGACTTAGACCACTGTCTAATAGGGCTCTTAGCTGATTAGTCATATGCTTAGAGTCGATAGTTTTCAGCATGATTAAAAGGAAAACGTCTCTTCCATAACGTCTGCGTCTCTCCTGGACAACATCAACTTCCCATTGACACCACTGACTTTTCGCAAACTCATTAGATAATATTACAACAACGTTCCATGATTTCTCTAAATATTTATTGATGTTTGCAGTGATTGATTCTCCTACTTCAAAATTTCTATGGTGAATACATAACTTGATACCTTCGTTTTATTCTATTTTTGGCAAAAACGTTTGATGCACCCATTTGCGGCCTGCGTCACAATAAACGACAAAAGCATGATATTCGAAATCATCTGCTTCTGGTAATTGGAAATATCCTTCACGTCTTTTGTGTTTAATTCTCTGTAGGTATATACAATTCTTAATATTTGTATGACATTTCATACCTAGAGTTATCACTGTCACTAACAAATATCCTGTACATGATAATACAATTGCAATAGTATATAATTGATTCCAAGGTGGACACTCCTTTTTAGATTCAGCATATTTCTGAAGCAGTATATTGTCAAGTTCGGTAGGCTGTCGGCACTTGTAAAATAACGGGAACCTTAAAAGCTTGACTTTTGTTGTCTTTATCCATTCGGTGAACCAGAGTTGATCACAAGTGCAAGCATACGGATTTCGACTAAGATCCAATTATTCTAATGCATTCAGTACTTTCAGCGGAAATGATGATTCATAGAATGAAAACTACCTAATCTTATACTTATTCGAATGCATACAAAATGAATGAATGCATTATGGGTTGAAAAAGTGTATTAAATTTAAAACAAAAACCTGCTATATATCAGGAATGCTCTTGCGAAATAACCATTTTGTTAACGGCATGTCCAAACATGCCATCATACGAATTCAATACCATGAGCTGAAGATTATTGTGTTTCGTGTACGTATCAAATGGAGTTTTGAGGTAGGTGTTGTTTAATTTTCTATCTCATTGCAATATTCGCCCATTTATGTATTTCAAAATTTCAGCAAGTCAACATGGTGAATCACATCATCAGTGAATGCGACGCTAGATAGTAACCCACAAACACCATGTTTAGGTTGAGAATTATAAATATTAAATACACTTTTCTGGACGTAATTTATGTAATAACTGATGGAAGTCATAACGTATCAGACATTTGTAGCTTTGATTTACAGATTTTTTTAATTATTCGTATTATTAGAATAAAACTAATTGATCAAGTCATACATTTTTTTAGCATTTGATGAACAGATTTCCGTAGCTATATTTGGCAACACCTTTGACCATGTTGTCTCCTCAAAGCTCTTCAACTCTGTACCTTTTTTTGGGTTTTTTAACTCTTTTGATTCAAGCGTCTCTTGTGAGTCATTTGTAAACAAAACGCACGTCTGGCGTAAACAATTTTTATCCTGAACTACAAACTAGTTAAAGTCTGAAATAGCCTATATTTGACTCGACTGTACTGATTTTTACTCAACCAGTCTGAATTGGTCTGACATTTACTTAATAATACTCGACTGCAGTCTGAACCATACTTATATAGCTGACTACGCGGTATGGGCTTAGCTCATTGTTGAAGGCCGTACGGTGACCTATACTTGTTAATTTCTGTGTCATTTTGGTCTCTTGTGGAGAGTTGTCTCATTGATAATCATACCACATCTTCTTTTTTATATTAATAGTCTGAACTTGTACTCGATCTTTACTCGACCAGTACTTAATCATTTTAAATGCGTCTGAACCGATGGGAATATGGGGGATTTAAGGAAACTAAGGATACTAGAATATCTGTTTCACTTATTGATCTTTCCACATTTGACACAGATGGAAGGCTGAACACAAGAATCTACGATAAACGTAATGACTTCTAATTTCCAACCGTCAACTTCCAGTTACTTAGCAGTTACACACCGTTGACCCATCGTTTGGCGTTTGCATATCTCAGTTAATACATTACGTTCGAGTATTTTCACATTATATGTTCGTCCTCAGAATCTTTGCCAACAGAGAATTAGGACAAACCAACCAAAACCATCACTACACATGTTTAACATGTAAATACGGTTTCGATGACGCTGTTATGTTGGATTTGTATCACTAAATTTTTAGATTGCTTTTGAGTTATGTGAGCTGTTGTATTTAAATAGCCTTGATAACTGCGGTGACTTAAAATTTTGGCTTGCCTAATTTTTATGTTCTGCCTTTTGCGTTTTCACTGTATGTATTGCTATTTTTCTTGATATTATTTTATATTATAAGGGTCCGAAAAGTAAATAGCAAAAATCAGGAAAAACATAAAGGCCATTCATTTATCAAATGACAAAATCCAAACCTCAAACACATCAAACGAATGAAAACCAACTGGCATATTCTTGATTTGGTACAGGCATTTTCTCATGTAGAAAAAGGTTGATTAAACCTCTCACAGAATTTACAGTCACATCAAATTTCCTTATACTGACAAAAATGTGTAAACAAAACAAACAGACATAATACGTAAAAATGCCAAACGTTTCGGTACAGCAGTCATCATAATGTTATGATCTTAATCGCTAAAAAAGCAAACACCTTATCAACAAAGAAAACCAAACTGACATGTAGACACTCTTCAGACAAAGCACATAAGTAGAAATGAAAGATCAGAATACAACAAAATGAGCATAGCGCAATAAAACAATGACGGGATCTACAAATGCCAAGCCACGTCAAAATGTTATTACTAGACATGGTCTTAATTCTGCTGACACCGAACATAAAAAGGACATTTGCAAATATTAATACGATAGATGGTGTCATCAAATGCGACAGGTACAAAACATGCAAAAAACTACAACAACACAAATACATACCTTGATAAACATTTGCTTCTTCATCCTGAATAGTACAAACATATTTGAGAATGTATATAATTGCACAAAAGAGTAAAGTAACAAAAAAAAACTCCAAGGAAAATTTAAAACGAAAGTCCTATATCAAATGGAAAACTCAAAAGCTCTTACAATTAAAACGAAAAATAAATACTATTCATGACTTGGTACAGGCCTTTCCTTTTGTAGAAAATGGTGAATTAAACCTGGTTTTACAGCTAAATAAATCCCTAACTCTACAGTCGCATATAATTTCATTATATTAACAACAACGTGCTGCAAGTTGTCGATCATGACTGCAGAAACAACTGGGTGAATGTGTGAGTGTCCGGAAAAGAGAGCAATACGTTTCAAATTAGTTTCAAAATTCAATTGAAAGTTGAATATCATAATATTTTATTATATTTGCACAGTAAAAATGAATTGAAAGTTTGAATTGTATATTGGCAAATACCCCTAACGTGTTGTTACTAACAAGTAAATGAAAAAAACAATGGCTACGTTTGGTGTACCCGTATCGCTTTCCTTCATTTACCGTCATCGGGAACACTCAAATCCAAACATTTGATAGCGAAGGTTAATTAGTTGATACTTGAAAAATTCTCAATTTAACTAGCTTAATATTTTATAGTTTATGTTGTTAGATAAAGGACGCTGTACGAATTGATTTTAAGTACACATGTGTTGTTTGATTTTTGACTGTTTTACTCCGCAAAGTCATTTTGCAATACATGTTGCATTTCAATAAAGATAGTATGGTCTCAAAAAAGTTCCTCCTATATAGACCAGTTTAAACTAACTATGAATTCCAAAACAAGTATCATATTACTCATAGAGAGCATAACGCATGACCTTTTATTTACATTAAATCTTGCAAACATATACTCACGGAATAACAGGGTTCAGGCTCAAGTTTGTATGCAACATATACAACTCCTCATATATATTTTTCCTTTGATATATTACCAATATCAAATGATAGATTACGTAGTCTTTCGTCTGCTTTGATCAATGAAAAATATTGTATCAAAGCTTGCTCCAGGCCTAAAGCATAATTTTGCTGGTTCATTTCGATTGTTGTCTTGTCCATACGATGTGCATTTGCGCTACATTCTCGTAATTTTTTTGGAACAAGATTCCTTTCAACGCATCCTAAAACAATTAATCCATCATAGTTATTACTTTTGTAATTCCGCCATCTTGCAGTTATTCCTCCTACTAGACACCAAGTCGTCGGTTTCATAGGGTTAAAGTGCGCTAATTTTTTTTCTTTCACAAATGTTTTACCTATTGTAAAGTCCGTTACTTTTCTTTCAGTCTGCCTTTCCAACTCACATAACGATTGCTTCAGTTTTAGTTTTAATCTTTTCAAAGATTGCTTAAAAGAAATACTATGCCTGTGATGATTTGTGTGGTCATGATCACATCCATCAAACAATTCAGCCAGGTTGTAAGAGTAACCATTGCAACCTTTACAAAGATCTTCAAAGTCTGTAAATTCACGTGTTGATGGAGTCGCAGACATTTGGGTTATCTCTAAAATAAATTTTGAACAGATCAGTACATATAAATGTTATCAATTCAGGGATGTCAACGAGTACTCGAGTACTCGAGTATCGCTCGGTAGTACAGAGTATCGATTAACAAAATGATACTCGAATAATTGGTTGCATATTAGAATGATGTTGCTCTCTTAAGCTAAAACAAAAAAAATAATTTAATGGAGAGCGCATCCAAGGAAATTAAATATTAATAAAAATTAATAAAAATTTATATACAATTCGAGTGTTTGCATTTAACTGTCAATTCCTATAAACAGATGTTGAATATATGAACAAGAGCACCTTTAGTTCAAAGGCTTACACTTTTAGCCTAGTCATTCCCCTGCCTCTGTATCGTCGGAGCCTATACTTTTATCAGCAGGATTGCAATTTATATAACAAAATTGAGAAATCGCCTCGTCCTAAAAAACAGTCGACAAGATAATTGTCATGTTTATGTTTTTACCTTTTCTTTATCATTAAATGATGTTTTACGGTTTCCCAAATTGTTTAAGTAATAAATTTTCTATAGCTATTTATTAATTACTTGCTTATTCATTGCCAGATTACAAAATTAGTACATGCAGTAAATGAGCTATTAATTATGCTATAAAATTCATTGGACTATTATCTAGTCCTAAGTAATAATAGGGATTTACGTACATAAAACAACGACCTATTATTCTGTGCTTCCATTTTGTAAATGCTTTACCGAGCGAGTACTCAAGTACCGCTCTGTAAATCCAACGAGTAATCGATTAGTAAATCTTCATTGAGTTGACATCTCTAGTTATAATAAACAGTTTCGCTTTTGAAACAAAAAAAAACGACAATGACATTGTCTTTGCAGTTTTGATATTGACGGAATCACATTAACTGTTTTGCCTAAACAGTGGATCAATTTCATTGTATTAGAAATATTTCGCATAGTTTTAAAAAAACTGATAGTGCCGTTTGTACTTACAAACTGTTTCTAGGCCAGATATGTTTTCTTAAGATAAAGGGACGATTGCAGACTATTCGTCAGATCTTTTAACTAGAAAGTCAGTAGTGTATGTCTTAACAGGAACGTGCTTTAAAAACGCTAACTGTTGCAGCAGATTTAAAAGAAAGAACGACCTTACTCAATACAAGTTTAATGGTTATGATATTAGTAAAATATTGGCCCTTACAACTGGAGAAAGACAAGTGGTGTTGTGCTTTAGTCTTAATATACCATAACTGTCGTATATTGTTCATTTTATGTCTATCAACCGACCTTGTTCCATTCAATATAATATCCGTTTTTTATAGTTTGGATACAAAGCAGAAGATGATTGTTCGGATCGTTAGTTTTCTTTGTGGTGTTTGGGGGCAAGTACGTCATTTTTCGGTTTTACCATAATATTCAAAATTGACTCACAATATTAAACTTTGATAACGTAGGTAGGTTAAGGCACTTTTGGACGTTTTTTTCCATAAAATCGCCCATAATCATTTAATCAGATTTTTGTATTTCATCTAGCCATATTTCTTTACCTCAATTATAAAGACAAATAATCACACTGATGTAATAAAAAAAATTTAGAACACCGGTTCATGTTTACACACACCTGTATTTTCATATCACGTGATTGTGGTATTTCTAGTGACACTTACAAATAGGAAAAGCACAAGTTGTTCCTCACCATTAAATTGGGATTTGTTTTACACATCACTTCAGAAATCTACACATTTTAGAAAAAATGATACTCGCAGACCCGGCTACCTCAAGTATTATTTAAAATAAAAAAATGTATTCTGTAAATAGGTCCGTTGTTGTTAAATTGCGTCAAAAAAGACTAATTATGTACATTAATCGTAATTTCTTAAAATGCGAGTAGCAAATTGTAAAAGCAGAAAAAAATTCTGAAAAAGATGATATAGACATCGCGTTATTATAACATATGGAACAACTTGTACTTTAGGATTCTTTGTGTTTATCAACAAAGGTAAATATATCACCGGTTACCGTCAAACGTTCAAGAGACGTCAACAAAACAGAAAGGGACGCAACTCTGCAAAGATGCGGGAAATGTAAAAACGAAACCTCAAAAACAATATGACACGCGATTGTAATCATCATTTCTTGCATTATTGTTTGCATTCATTAAAATAACTTACCTTTATGTTGATTTATATACTTTATAGTATTCTTTTGCAATTCCATCAAGTGTTTGAAACAGTTTTCACAGATGTAGTTTACGTTTAATACTCATGATATCTAGAAAATATCTACAATCTAAATGAACTATCTCGGACAACTGAGGAAAAGACCAAACCTGAAGAGAATATCCCTTATCTTCCCCTGTACAGGCTACGAGCTGGTGATAATTAAAATAATTAGCTCTAGTTTGTTCTTGGAGAGGAGTTGGAATTGTCAACTTTCTTACAACAATTTTCAAGGAATGTGAAATCTAAACAAGTTGACCATCTATTTGAAAGATTTCTAAAACGTCTATATTTAAGTGTCATATGTGTTAAGAATAAAATTTTGTATGCATATATAAATAATTTATGATATAACTTTACTATAAATATAGAGTAAACTATGAACTAACTGATGATAAGCCAATCTGATGTCCCTATTATTATCTGATAAACACTAACATAAACCCTCAAAAACAAGAGACAACATTTTTATTGGGTGCCTTTGAGTGAAATATTGTTGAAATGCTATTTTCTTCTTTTGAAGGGTGTTAATGTGTATACATGAATTAACAATTTGGCATACATGTACATGTATAATGTCCCATATACAGTCGAGGAAAATATATCCCCACCATTTATCATTGCAATAAAATGATGTAAATCTCACTTGTATTTTTTAATGATTATGTATATTTTTTCCACCAATTTTCCCTGCGTCTTTTGCCGTTTTGGGGTATATATTTTTTTCCGTGTAGGAAGGGGCCTTTGCACTAATTAGGGATCATTCAAGGACACAGCAGCCATACTGATTACAGGAGTCAAATTTGGTTAAATTCTGTCCCAACTTACCACAATAACAGTTAATGCGTATTCCACTCTTCTATATTTTATTTCCATCAATGACACACTTAGAAACATGAACTACTACAACTTTGCAAAGGTTATTTTGGCCAGATCAACAAAAGACAGTGCAGCAATTGATTTTTTTAATAATTACGATAATTCCAAAACTACATCAAATTTTGTAAAAGCAAATTATATAAATAGTGTATCAATTCATCAAAGACATGAAAACTACAACATTTTTATGACAAAATACAGAAATCTACAGATACCATCATATGACATATTCAAAAACCAGCTCCCTAAACTTCAAAATTATGTAACAAACAGCAAATATTTTGTGCATAATGGCAAAGCTGGTGAAAAAATGAGGTTCACTGATAACTTCTCTCTATTCAACTGGCTTAAACTTCCAGAAAATGAAAAGCAAAGCCACAAATTGCAAGATTGCTCCACCTGTTTGACCACCCATGGCAGCATATCATCTCTGCACAAGTCATATTATCATGCTTCATCATTAGTACAGCCATGTAAAGACCTTGTAAACAACATCAATGAGATTATTGTGTCACCGTCTTCATCAATTGGGAAAAAAACAGTTCAAAATGTTATTAAAGTTTTAAAACCAATTATTGAAACTCAATATAACATTAATTTTAAGAAAAAGTTAGCGGAAGTTATGAACATGTCACCTAGAGAATCGGTCGTTGAAAAAAACAACAAAATTATGACATCAATTCGAGAGACAACCCAACAAATAGCAGAATCAATGACTGAAAATGATGTCGACATTCAAAATTTGCTTGCCAGTGGGAAGTCTTTTCTACAGTATGAAAGGGAGCGACTTCAGACATGTTACGTAACAACTGACCAAGCTGAAAGACAAGCTGACGACCTACAGACCAAACTTGCCTCAGGTAAAAAGCCAAAGACACACATAGGCAAATACGCCAATTATAATTTTGATCAACAGGAATTTCTCGAGGAAGTAAAAAATTGTAAATCAACCATCATGAATTGGACCAGAATGGCTATCAAATACAACGTTACGTTAAACGGAAAGCTTGCTGGCAATGGGGGCAAATCCTTAAGCAATTTGCAAAGGACAACAATAATGACGTCCACCGAATTAATCCACATTTAAGGATAAGTGGAATGGACCATCTTCAAAGAATTAGGAGGTCAAAAAAGCGAGTCTTCAGGGGAAAACTTGCTATTCCAAATAAAAGAACAGCTAAAAACCTCAAATCGATCATTCAGCACAAATTGGAACAAAAATTTACGACATTGGCCTAAAAATTGCCCCAAAGGAAATCCGAATGAACACCATTGATTCTTCAGGTAATATTCAAGAAACATCAATTCAAATATATGGCCGAAAAATTCCCCTTAAAGATATAATGCTGAAAGAAATTCAACGGCTTACAAAATCTGGCATCTTAATATCTAGGAGTGACGAGCACTACCAATCACTATCAAAGGAGGCTGTCTATAATAGGTTAAAACAAATTTCATCTTCAACCAAGTCCACTGAAACAGACAGCACTTTAGCATCAGAAATTAACCGATTAATGACCATGGAGAGACAAGTAAACCTTACAATCTGGCATGACCATTCAGATATCCTTAACCATACATATATAAGCTTTATGGTCAGCCTCATCTATGACCATGCAAACTTCCTGACCAATGAAGAATTTAGGGAAACCTATCCAAAGAAGAAGCCTGTAGATGTTCAAGCTGTAGTAGAGAGACCAAACCTGTACATTTTTGGACAATCAGGTAATGGCTACTAATGCACATGTTATTTTTCAGTAAAATACAAAAAATTAAACCCTTTTTCAGATGATATTTCATGATCTTGAAGATAAATAATACTGTCTAAGTTTCAAAACAATCTATGGAGGTTTAAAAATCTATAATGTCAAAAAAAGTTAAATTCCAGACAGTCTGTAAATATCAACTGTAAATAATCAACCTGTC